TTAGTGATTATCTCAATTTCGGCTAAAAGAATTAACAAAATCCTACACACTGTGCCTTTAAATACTCCTTAAACATGTTTAGAAAAATAACAATTCCTACTTTTTGGAATAATTTAAACTGTTATTTAGGAAGAGTAGAACCCTAAAATAGTGTATTACAGCTAAATCAGCTGGCGTGTGCATGTGTGTTTCAGCGAGTTGTGTTATTGTCAGAATGGAGGTGGTCTAGAGGCTGAATGCCTCTGCAGACCTTTTTTCAGTGTTGGGAGGGTAGTTGTTGCATCGCTGCAATTCTGCTGAGGCTGTCGTTATATACATGAGCACAAAATACACCGTAGGCACACAACAACACACACCTGGAATGTATCCGCTCAGGCACAAAAACGCATAAAAATACATAAATCGAATTGCTGCGTCTCACATGTAGCACTTCCTCTGCTATTATCAGTCCATTTGGATGAAACATGACTGCTCGGTTGAGCCACAAAGCTCAATAAAATTGGCTGCATTTATAACAAATGTGACAAATGTGCACACACATATGTGCACACACAGAAATGCACAGTTTCTCATTTTCTGTCATGGACACATTTCTTGCATTCATTGCGACATTTAAACCTTTACTATGATATATTTACAGATCYTTCCTTTACTGTTTGACCAACATCTGTCCTTCCTGTCACTTCACACTAAATACTAATGAAACAAAAACTTACAATGGCCTGGGAAATTGAGAAAATGTTATAGGTCTCGATTTTAACCTTTTAGGTGAATCAGATGTCAAAGAGTRGACCTAGTCCTTTTAAATTACATAAATGTAGCTAAAGGTTTAGAACAGAAGAGCAAATTTAACCGTATTTTTGCTAATGTTTCATTAAATGATGCGTTTAAACAGGGTAGTGTATGTTTTTGTGTGTCGAGGCACAGATTCATGATGAATGAGAAGCTAATCAATGAGCTTCAGGATTTAGTTTCAGCAGTCTGGCTGCAGCTTGATTTATATATGTATGAGGAGACACTGTCCACAACCCGTTTTCTTAAATTAAAAGATTGTAAGCCAAAGTGTTTCATCCAAATATCAAAATGCTGTTGTATAAAAGGCAGCGTTGCTCATATTTAGGGTTGGGGAAAATCGTATGGTGTGCAATTAATTATCAAAAAAACTTAATTACTTAGTGCCAGGTTATGAGGTATTGTTGTGTACGACACACTATCACCGTCAGCTTAATGGTGTAAGAGCGCAGAGAAAATCATGCTAACCCTAATCCTACCAACTTGTTTACCTGAAACACCAACATAAACCAAAGTAAAAGGAAAGACAGAAAATGTGGACCAAAGCCATAACATTGGCTATGTGCAAGTGCAATTGTCATCCACTAACACATATAATACAATAATACATCCAATAAATGTACATCCAATACAATTTTTAAAACGAGAGACTGCAGATTGTGTTCCAACTATAGGGGGGATCACACTTCTGAGCCTCCCTGGTAAGGTCTATTCAGGGGTCCTGGAGAGGAGGGTCCGTTGGATAGTCGAATCTCGGATTCAGGAAGATCAGTATGGTTTTCGTCCTGGTCATGGAACACTGGACCAGCTCTACACCCTCAACAGGGTCCTGGAGGGAGCATTGGAGTTTGCCCAACCAATCTACATGTGTTTTGTGGACTTGGAGAAGGCGTTCAACCGTGTCCCTTGGAGACTCCAGTGGGGGGTACTCCTGGAGTATGGGTTACCAAGTCTTTTGATATAGGCTGTTAGGTCCCTGTACGACCGGTGCCAGAGCTTGGTCCGCATTGCCGGTAGTAAATCGGACTCGTTTTCGGTGAGAGTTGGACTCCACCAAGGTTGCCCTTTGTCACGGATTCTGTTCATAACTTTTGTGGACAGAATTTCTAGGCGCAGCCGAGTTGTTGAGGGGATCCTTTTTGGTGACCTTAGGATCACATCTCTGCTTTTTGCAGATGATGTGGTCCTATTGGCTTCATCAAGTCGTGATCTCCAGCTCTCACTGGGGTGGTTCACAGCCAAGTGTGAAGAGGCTGGGATGAGGATCAGTGCCTCCATATCCAAGATCATGGTCTTGAGCCAAAAAAGGGTAGGGTGCCTTCTCTGGGTCAGGGAAGAGGTTCTTCCCCAAGTGGAGGAGTTTAAGTATCTCGAGGTCTTGTTGGGAGATCGACAGGCGGATTGGTGCTGTGTCTGCAGTGCATCTGCATCCACGTCAAGAGGAGCCAGTTGAGGTGGCTCGGGCATCTGGTTAGGATGCCTTCTGGACGCCTCCCTGGTGAGGTGTTCCGGGCACGTCCCACTGGGAGGAGGCCCAGAAGAAAACCCAGGACACGCTGGAGGAACTCTTTCTGGGAACACCTTGGGATTCCCCTAGACGAGCTGGCCCAAGTGGCTGGGGAGAGGGAAGTCTGGGTCTCTCTGCTTAGGCTACTCGACCCCGGATAAGCGAAGAAAACAAACGGATGGGCGGACGGACATCCAATAAAACCTGGTCACACCCCGGATATGATGTCATAGTAAACAAGGAACTACCCTTAAAATAGCTTCACATTCCTGAGATTTAAAACATTGTGTTGCACATGTTAAAACAGAGACTTATTGATTTTCTTACTATTTAAAGTAAATGGACAATTAAAATTCAGTTGAACAATCTCAAAATATCCAACCAGTCGTCATCGGCTAAAGGCCACAATTAATCGTGATAAATCTTTTTTGAGAGTATCAGTCAACCTTATTCACACTGTACATCCTACGTGATCTATGCAACCTAAAAGAAATAACTCAAAATATTCTCAAATTTCAGAGGTTAACATGCACACTATTTTATTCAAGTTTACATTGCTATCAGTCTCTCATGACACAGTCTGAATTATTGTTTTATTTTAATAACGTCAATTAAAACACTGTTTTTGTTCTTTTATATACTGTATTATCTCTATAAGTTTCTATAAATACTGACATTCTTTTCATTTGTTTGCAAAGTGAGATTTGTCTTTGTTGTCCCAAACACAAACTGTACATACTGTATATAAATGTATCATTTACGGGCATGGATGTAGATTTGCTCAACTGTGCATTTTGTCTGCAACCATTAAAAAAATCATTTTATAAGTTCATGTTTGTTAATAATTGAGATGCACAACCATTTAGAAATATTAAGAGACAAGAGTATTGTTTTACACTTTCTCTTTAGTTTTTCTTAAATTGTCTTTACATGTAAAGTATTTCAGTGAAGGGCAACGATCTAATTTTGTTTGCGTCGTGATGTTTTTGAACATAAATCCATTTTGTCAGGTGTTTCAGATTGACTACATTCATTCAACATAATGCTAAATATGAAATGTTTTAGTGTGCTATTACCGACTTTTGTAATAATTTATTTTATTGTTTTGAGTCAATCACTGTGTGTTTTTTTTTATTGTGCACATCAGTCTTCAGTGTATGCTGTAGCTCTGAAAAGTCTCATTAGAAAACTTTTTTTTCTAGTTTGTCCACTTGTTCCAGCACACGCTTTCTTTTTCTACCTCCTGTTTGGGATGAAGTGTGTGTGTGTGTGTGTATGTGTGTGTATGTGTGTGTTTGCATTGTGT